AAACGCCCAATTAACACGTCAAATCTATCAACTTGAAATACTGAAAAATTGGAGAAAGTCATGTCAATCGCACGCAATGGGCGCGACCAAAATCCAGTAATGGACAATTTTCGAGATTCGACAGGGAGATATGAGTCTAAAAAAGAAATGAAAATAAAAACAAAATATATATATATATATGTACCTTTTCATCAGATTACAGCAAACATAAAAATTTCGAAATTTTTCATCAGAGAACATTTTACCCGGCGACAGGATGGGGCGTGCGTTCAAAATATGTTTACGTTTTCGGGAATGATTGCGCGTTTGTAATAACAGCTGTGGGTACGCTTTTTTATTGCTCGATATCAGTCAACGGGAAATACGTTTCGAGCGTGGAAAAAAGGGAGGAAGGAGAGAGTAGGAATAGGCTGAAACGAGACGCGAAATTCGTTCCGGAGTTATCTCGTGCATATTGACTTTGCTTAGCGAATGTACGACGAAGTTGCGAGGTCGGGGGGTCGATAATTAGTTCTGTTGACATTAGTCGTCCACGCACCTACTCACGCGCCTACACACACATAAATACGAGCGATATATCACTATATATATGTGTGTGTGTGTGTGTGTGTGTGTGTGTGTGTGTGTGTGTGTGTGTGTGTGTGTGTGTGTGTGTGTGTGTGTGTGTGTGGTGTGTGTGTGTGTGTGTGTGTGTGTGTGTGTGTGTGTGTGTGTGTGTGTGTGTGTGTGTGTGTGTGTGTGTGTGTGTGTGTGTGTGTGTGTGTGTGTGTGTGTGTGTGTGTGTGTAGTGAACTACACGTACACGCGCGTACCCACCTCGGTAAACCTGTGTCGCAAGGCGGCCGCCGAGCAGCGTCCTTTGATCTTGATATTAGTTACGCGCCGATTTGGCCGTCATCGAAATCATTCGACCGCGTCGTTGCTGCGGCATTCGCATCGATTATTTCATTTTCGACCAATCGACGGTCGGCCACCCGACGGCGCTTAAGCTGTTTACCCACTTTGCGTCTCTCTCTCTCTCTCTCTCTCTCTCTCTCTCTCTCTCTCTCTCTCTCTCTCTCTCTCTCTCTCTCTCTCTCTCTCTCTCTCTCTTCCCTTCTCCCCTGCCTCTCTTACTCTTGCAGCCTCCCTGGGCAGAAATCAAACGACGAAGGACGCAAGTCGGGGGAAAATCTCGAGCGCTCTTCATCGTCTCGGAATAATTCATCGCACTCTCTCGGTTTTTTCGCCGGATAACATATGAATATCAAGTGCGTCGGAGCATTGACACAGCGGCTTTGTGCTGGAATATTAAGAGCCGAGGCGGAATTTTTGCATACTATGAATTTTTTAAGTCTCGTCCTTTGCGCGGTGATATAAAGAGTAAATCCGCCAAACCCCCGAAGTCCTGCGTGTATATTTAAGGCTGAATATTAACGTCGCGCATTAACATCTTTTTACGTACGGAATTAAAATTAGAGTGAGAAACGGTGCATGGTTGCGTCCGGACCGCTAGATATGCAAATTGCTGCATGCGCGCATGAGTACTTCGCTCTCCGCTTAAATTGCTATTAACGTATATTCATCTGTATTAACATGCGCTCATTAATACGCGTATTCCCCCCCCTCTCCCCCCACGCGGGTCCTCATCACTTCGGCGCGTGCGGCAGCCGATCTTCCGTGATATGGACGAATGAGAGGAAGACGCGGATCTGCGAAAACTCGGGGCTGTGCGCGACGCGACGGTTCAGCCGGCATCTCTGAACCTCGCGCGACTTCGAAGACGCTCGTTTTGTCATTCGCTTCCGCCCGTTACTTGTTTACTCATGCAGTGAGTCCTCACACACTGTCAATCGCTGTCAATCACACTGTCAATCAATACGTCGCTTATAGCAGAAAAAATCTCGCCTCAGCTACGTATCGCGAGGAGGATGTAGTCTCTCGCACCTTGCGACTCGCTGCGTGGTGCAGTCGCGGAAGCTTCACCTCGAGGACGTCGCCGTGGTCGATTTTGCGCGATCGCCGCGGCAGAAACGCGTCGCGACGCTCTTGTCGCACTGTCGGCGGCATATTAGCGCCGAGAATGCAAATAATTGTTCACCGCGGTTCGCGTTCCACGCGTGTGTGCGCGCGTGTGTGTGTGGGCGAGCTGGCGGTCGCGTGTGTGTGCATACAGGGTGGCGAAACCGAGCGTGGAATGTAAATACAAGCGCCTTCGCGGTGCTCCCGCCGCGGGAACAGGCTTGTCGCTCGCTCGCTCGCACTCCTTCTGATGTAGATGTATATGTTCTTTGTATGCGCACACATAACACGGCCGGCGGATCATCCTGTCTGTCGAGTCGTGCGGGACAATACTCGCAGTCCCGCGACCCAAAGATACCCGCACGGTGCGCGTACGTCAGAGAAAGGAGGAGGTAGGAAATAAAAAGCATAGGAAGAATCACAACGTGTGTGATCAAACAACGAGCTCTCTCTCTCTCTCTCTCTCTCTCTCTCTCTCGAGTTCGAGCTCGACGTGAATGGCGCGGAACGCGCAGTAATTAGCGCTCGAGACTCGCGAAGCTTTTTGACTGATTGACGAGATAAAGTTTATTGATAATGTGTACAGGCGATTATGCGCCGTGTATGAAGCGCTGCTGCGGTATGAAAGAGCGAGAAGCCAGCGTCGGCGTCGAAGAGAGAGAGAGAGAGAGAGAGTGCTCGTTAGTATGAGCGGTCTTTAAAAGAAGCGTTAATCGTCTCAGCCGGCCAGATAACGCGTTAAAACACGCGCCCTTGGCGCGTCGCGCAGGATGCGGGAGAGGATTTGTTGCGAGCCCTGCATCTCTCGCGTCTCTCTCGTCGTGTTTCGAGTTTTTCTGCGGGGAAGAGTGGGGGAGAAAGGGAGAGAGGGAGGAAGAGCGAGAGGGACGCGTTCGGCAAAGGGCAATAAAATATCGCATCTCGTGTCGTAGGACGCGATTAATCGTCGGCCCGGCAAGAATTAATCGCCGGCGTTGCGATAATTTATCGCGAGCCGTCCCGCCGCGATATTTCAACGGCGGATATTTTTCCCGGCCCCGTGCGCGCTCGCGCGCTTCGTTAACCCTACGACGGCCGCTTTTCCCCGAAAGGGAAAAGGAAGCGTGTTTCGACAACTCGGCGGAAGCGCTGCCGCGAGATTCGCGCACCACGTGCGAGTCGCTTTTCACGCGTGACTTTCCCGGGCGATTCGTTTCTTTCCGTGCCACCAGAGATACCGAGGTTGCCGGCTCGCTAATTGACGCTGCGACATTTTTCATTCACCTTGTACCAGTCGAATTCAAAGAAAAGAATGTCTGCTAGCTGGTCGTTCGGACGATCGTCGAGAGCGCAAAATGCAGCAAATCGCGAACGATATTCGTGACCTCCGCGGTTGGCCAGTGGAGCGTTCATTGGAGCAAATTTCGCTGCAAAGTAGCACTTCGACGTATCTCATCGCTCTTAGCGTGCTGCGCAACGCGAAATTTCCATAAATAAATGCAAACGCGAAGTCTGACAATGTAATCCCGCGGCTGTATATCCAAGTCGAGACCGTAGATAATTTATGAGCAAGGTGAAGGGGTATGTGAGACGTTAAAATATTGCAATGATATCAGATAGGGATAAGATTAGCGGGTGGCAGGGAGGGAGAAGAGAAGAAAGGGAAGAAGCGCCGGAACGCGCGCGGTTCTCGGGGAGTTTTTGTTCGCTTCGATGGAAAAACACTTTCGATGGTCGTGGATGATATTTTCGAAGCGGTCATTCAGACCAGTCTTGCTTTTCCCTCGCGCAATGCGCGTCCTCCGTGTACTCCGACGTGAAATTTAGAAGATGAGCCTTCGGATTCTGCTGGATCGTAAACCTTGTATCTCGACCAACGAAGTGCGAGCTTACTTTCTATTGTGTACGAAGCGAAGGGGAACTCTTCCGTATTTTGATCTCCTCTGAACAGATGGAACTTTCTTTCTCTCTTCGTGACTTTTCAGGAAGAGAGTGAGTGAGGCAGGAAGGAGGAAGGAGGAACGAATTATGCGGCGAATATTGCGCCGAAAGGATTACATTCACATCTTTTGGAATATGATATGGTAAAATAAACGAACGCTCCTCGTTTCTCCGACCGTAATAAAATAACAGCTTCACGTTGCGCGCGCATCTGACGAGAGAATGTACTCCACGCGGAAAATTCAGATTTTAATAACACTTTGCACATATGTAGGACAGCGAAAAGGATGAGTTTTGCAATTTCCCGCTGGTGTGCGGAAAAATGGATTTATGTTGTCATACTTGGCGCATTCGAACGCGCGTGGTCAGGTATCTGCAAGTAAAATCAGCTGCGGCCTACTTCCTCCGGCGGTGAATTAGTCGTTATAAAGCGAGCTTTTAATCCTTAACTCGAGGAACGCCCATATTTTCCTCGCAATTTGTTTTACATATCCCGGCGAGAAATGTTAAGTACTCGCGTGTAACGTGAGAATCGCGATCGAGCGAGCGCGGTTGTGATGACACGGATATGAAAGACTGAGTTGTATGATCGCTTCGTGAAATAAATATTTATATACGTATGAGCGGCGGGAAAGACGTATTAGTGAAGAGAAAAATCGACGATTTAAAATTAAATACGCGAAGTGATTTCCTCACGAAGAAGAATGTTTGATCGAACGAGCCAATTTTCTGGTGAAGTATAGACGATTCAGAAATGTATCGACCGAAGATACCAGAGTGCCGTTTACATTAACCAGAAAGAAAATTAGCTTAGACTGAATAATTCGACAGAGTCCAAATAGTCTAGAATAAAACAGAAAGAGTCCAGAATAATTTGAACTGTATTCCTTTTCTGACAAACTCAACCGAATTTTTGTATCGTTCATATTTCACCAGCACATTGTTTAACACGACTTTCTTCTCCGTGTAAGATTAAGTATCAAGACGTCTGGAGTTGTTCGTGAAGAAACACGAGAACACGCATCGTCGGATACCGTACTCCCGTTGTTGTGACAGAACATGTTTCTTTCTGCTTGCAGAAACTGCAAACGATCGGCGAGGATTTCTGCGGTCTCGACGTGAACACGCCTTTAGGAGGCGAAGAGCCGATGGGTGCAACTTCGGTGTTGACGTTTGAGACTCATTTAACGGCAGTGGCGGCCACTTCAACCGGCGACTACACCGTCGTCTTCGTCGGCACCAATAAGGGACATCTCAAGAAGGTCAGTGCTCGAAATTAATCGACCCGATAATTCGATACCCACTACCGACCCTTTTTTCTCTTACCCTCGATAAGAGAGACGCGCGCGACCGTTGTTTCCGAGACTCCATCGCGAGAGAATCTCGAGATGTACCTTCAAACGAGACAAGATTAAACGTAAAATAATTAAATCGCGAGATTGTTAGAGAATCTACCGCGTTCTGTCGGGTTATCGATTACAACGGAATATTTCCCGTTGTGGTCATTAGCCGACGAATTAATTGAAGTATTCGCTACACTCGACGAGGAGAACACAGCACCGGGACCCGGCGGACTGTTCAGCGCGCCAAAGTCAGGTATATAACGAAACAATATTTCCACTCGACTCGTGGAGGTTGAATTACATGAAGGGGAGAATCCCGCAAGCGGTCATTGTTGCCGCGTGCATCTCATAATTACGTAGAAAATCGCTATTTAAATTATGACGGGCAGAGGAGAGAAATTCGGAGAAAGAGGACGAGGGGGTGGAATCGGCTGACGTAATCGGCGTGTAAAAGTCGCAAGATTAGCGACGGAACCATCCACGTTCGTTCATAGCCGAATCTTATGAGTGCCGGAAACGGAGAGTTCAGCAACCGCGAACTTAACGGGTCGACGGGGGCGGCACGATCAAATGGCAAAGTTTAGTAGTCGCGCGCACATGCACATCTCGGCCCGGCACACGCCCGCGTACTTCTCCTCTCTCTCTCTCTCTCTCTATCTCTCTCTCTCTCTCCCTCTCTCTCTCTCTCTCTCTCTCTCGCATATGTATCGAGGTCTTCGTCGATCATCGTGGCGCGCGATCGTTAAATTAATCGCGATCGCCGCGCGATTACCACGCTCGTGAATCAGACGCCGCGCGGCGTACAACGAGCGGACCGTGTAATTGGCCGCGCGATAGGCGGAATCGGCGAAAGAAAAAAGGGAGGGGAAAAAAGAAACGAGCACGACGATGTACTCGCGGCGAGGTTCGTGGATCGCGAATAGCGCATTATCGTCCATCGCCATTAAAACAATCCCCTGTGAGATCTTCGAGGGGGAACAATCGCGTCGTTAGTAAGATCGCCGCGGACGCGCCGATATCAGTTCTCTCGGCACGAGCTCAATTTTCGCGCTTCTCCCTCACCCTCGCCTCGCTTCCTCCCCGTAACCCCCCCCCCCGCCCGCGGTAGCTCTTACACGGCCCGGGATAAATCGGAAAATACGGCGTTCGATTAAATTTCGGCACGGGAGCGACGACAATCGTTTCGGTTTCGCGACGGGGGATACCGTTCTCTCTGTCAAGCAGCGCTCTGCTTGGCCTGTCGAGGGCTCGATACGAAGTTTTACGGCTATCGATATACTAAAATTTTATCCGCCGGGAAAAGGATAGCCTGGAGGCCTGGAAAAGGCCGAAATTCTCGGACGAAGCTCGTCCGTCCACCGGCGGGGGGAATTCTCGGGGAAATTTTCTACGCGGCTCGCGCACGGACGCGCTCTGCGTGTTTATCTCACAGAGGCGAGAGACGACGTCTCTTGCATAACAGCTTGTTATGATGCACAGCGTCGATTTATTCTTCAAAGCGTGAACCGCGTTAATACCGCGTCGCGTGCAGCAGCAGCAGCAGCAGCAGCAGCAGCACTAGGTAGGAAGGAAACGCGTTCTCGTTGGCGCGCTCGTTCACTCGCTCGCGCTGCGATCTCGAGCGGCTGCAGTCATCGTCCGGCCGACAGAGAAAGTGACGTTAAATATAGCCGGGCGTCCTATTGTAGATAATAGTATTTATAGAGTAATAACGCGCCTATATAGAGAGGAGCGCGCAACACAGCCGACGGAGTCGGCTCTCGCAGCGTCTCCGTGTCTCAACATACATGTCCGCACTCACATCTACATCGGTAGGCGCGGTTTTTGCGGCGCGACGTCATATCTCGGTATAAATTTATATTATTTACGGCGCACCGCGAACGTGAAATCTCTATTCTCGCGGCCGCGACTCGCGCCGTCGCCGCCGCCGCCGCCGCCACCGCCGCCACCACCACCACCATCGCGCGCTCCTCCGAGATTTATCGGTCTCGTAAACGGGCGACGTGTAACCCCGCTTCGGACGTTTAACACTCGGAATGGTACACCCGGGCTGCCGGGTGGCTCGTGATTCTCCTTTGTTGAGGACCCACGACGTAATACCTTTTGCCATTTCAGCGGAAATGGATTATCTCGGCGAGACCTCGCCTCGGGCGCGCAACGCTCGCTAATGCTCTTCCGAGCGCCCGATCAATTCGCTCGATAGGTCAAGCCGATTTACGCGAGAGAGAAAGGGGGGGGGAGGTGGGGGAGGGAGAGCCAGAGTGCGCACTCGCGCACTTATGTTATTGCAAGAAGAAGATTTATTTATATCCGGGCATAAAACGCCTCGGGAATCGTTAACGTTGAGCTGCGAGAGGGAGAGGGAGGGAGGGAGGGAGGGGGGGAGAGAGAAAGAGAGAGAGAGAGAGAGCATCGAGACAAGGTGGCGTTAAACACCGGAATATTTAGATATTTATTTATGCGGGCGAGAGACAACAATATCGGAATCGATCAAATCCGCGAGGATGGCGTATTTATTAGCGAAAATTTGGCTGGCGCGCGACTGACGTTGATGACGATAATAACGGTGATAAATAACGACGGTGCTTTTTTACACGGTGACGAGTATTACACCGTTACGACTGCTAAATATCCGCGTATATATCCGTCACTCTCAGCATCGCCGGGAATATTTCATCTCGCCTCTTGCGCCTCTTTCCCCGACGTTTTACCGCGTGCCGATTGTTTTCGAGATATTGCGACAACGCGTGACTTTTATGAGGAGTGAGAGGAGGCGTGTGTGTTTTCGCGGCAGATCAAATATTTCGCTCCGGTGCAGGTGTCCTCCGCGCTCTTCCGTCGGCCAGATGACGGAATATCGTTATACCGGCGGCTTATAACATACCCCGCTTTATTTCGCGAACTCGTTTTATTAGCTCCGCGCGCGCGCGCGCGCGAGAGAGAGAGAGAGAGAGAGAGAGAGAGAGAGAGAGAGAGAGAGAGAGAGAGAGAGAGACCACCTCATCGTAAAAGCCTCCTCTAGCTGTACAGGCGGGCTCATTGTTAGATTTAATGGCGCCCATCGATATCTTTACCGCATTCAATATCGAGTATCACGACTACCGGTACCGTACGTCGCCTGCGAGGGAACATCGGTGCTTTGTAACATATACATATACATCGATATCGTTATGTAATAACGTAATAATCAGAGGATGGTAATAATCAAAGGATGAAGCTTCTCCTGCCCGGCCGCGGAAAAATGATTAAAACGAGGAGAAAAGACACAGTACCTCATCGATTGTACCTGCCGTTGAATCGCCGTGCGCGCCTGTTTATTGAGAAAAGAAGAAGACTTCCGCTCGATACTGTTTTCCCGAGACACCGAGCGATGCGCGGACTAATATCGCGGAATAGCAATGTCGCGAGAGAGCGCCGAGAGGAAAATATCGTCGACCCGCTACGTTCCGGCAAATGGCATCGCGCATTGTCGGTGCGGCCAAGTTTTACGATCGTACCTACGGACGTGCCGCGGAGGCTACTAAGGGCGGGCCCGAGGGGGTGCTCGAGCAACGGGGGGTGACGATGAAACACGCGTCGTACGCGAATCGACGTCGAAAGAGCCGAGAAAAAGGGAGGACGAGGTCATCCCCGCTCCGTTCGGTGCTGTGTATAATTTATCGGCGGATCGCTCCCACCCGACCACCCCCGATTCTTATTATCCCTCTCGTTCGCGTGGACGACCTAATAACGCGAGGGCGCGCGACTTCGTGTGCGACACGTGGCTAAATATGGCGCACGTGTGTACCTTGGCCGGGTGCAACCGCGCTTAATATTAACCTGATACGGTTAAATCGGAAGCTGACCGGGTTAGCGGCTCGATTTTCCAGCCACAGCGTGGACTCGGTCTGTTTAGCAACCTCGCGGTAGAGCTGGAGAACGGTAGAATACCGTAGGAGGAGAAAGAGGCGAAAGGAGGCTGAGGGAGCTCGTCCGCGCGAACACGTGACGCGAATATTAGTCGTCGGAATGTCGCGACAGTTTGATAATTACGGCCACTAAATGATCGATCCCTTGGAGCGCGCGGCGAGCGCGGAGCGCAAACGGACGCGCGGACGCTCTCGGCTAACGCGAAATTGATTTTATCGCGCGCACCGAAACTCTCTCTCTCTCTCTCTCTCTCTCTCTCTCTCTCTCTCTCTCTCTCTCTCTCCACGGACGTGCTAATTACGGAGGGCGCCGTCACACCGATCGATATTGTTGTGCGGGATGATTTTGTTCTCGGTTGCATTCCGCCGATAGCACATTCTCCCGATATATCGAGACCTGCCAATTATTGGAGTATCAATATTACGGCGGGCTAAATTATATCGCGGGACGTGCCGTTAACGTGCGTGGGAACCCGTCACCTTGCCGTGAGCGACGAATCCGTGGAAGCGCAGCCCGAAACAGCGGCAAATCAGTCAGGCGCATCCTGCTGAGCGGCGCAGTCGCTGTGTTGAAGAGTCCCGTTTAAGAAGCGCGCGCGGGACGCGCTTCAGGACGGCGCGATATCGATCAACACTCGGGCAGCAGTTTTCGTGTATTATGCAGGGAGGAGAAATCGCAAGGAGGTAACAATGTGTCTCGCGACCTACATCGACCTGCCCCCGCTGGCTTTTTGCAGTTTTAAGCGAGCCCGACGGACTGGTGGAGGAGGGCGACCTTAATTAGAAGCACGACGTAGGAGATCCGCGAGAGAGCGATGGCTGAATATTAATTGTCGGCGCATTCTTGCGCCGCGTCCGGCGCGAGCGGCGAGATCTTTCGGCAAAGGGAAGAAGAGCAGCACCGAAGGTGGCGTCGCGCATTCGCTTGCGCAATTTAGAAACCCGGTCTCGCCATGGGCTATTAATAACGATGGAAAGCGCCGCGATTTCTCGCGGCCGCGTCGTATCGCG